TCATTCACGAACAATCGTCATTATTTATTTTTCTTTTTTCTTAACTTATGTCTTTTTATATTTATTCTGATGATGACAAAAGAATATTGTCGAAATATTAATAAATACGATATAATTAGTTAAATCATAATGTTCGTTTCAGTTCTACATTTCATTTTCTCTATTTTTCGAATTTCAACTGCTCTTCCATCTAACTATTTTACATTAAACTTGTTTTTTAATTAAAAAATATTTTTTTAAAAATGAATACACATTATTTTATCTTCATAATGATATAGAATAATAGAGAAAAATTAACAACTTTCTTAGGTTAATAAAGAAAAAAGCAAACTTAATCAACAACATTGAATTTGTCGGCATTATTTCAATTTATGATCAAACAAGCATCGTTTGTCGATCGTAAAGATAGACGCCCACTGTAAATAGCAAATAGACAGAAAGGAAAAAAACAGGAAAGAAGAATATAGAGTAAAAAATAAAAAAAGAATCCATCCTTTATAACTATTCACATCATATGATGAACTAGAAATTAGTCAAGAAAATACATATTAAATACTAGTTTTTGAGTAAGTAGAATTCAATGAGACATTTTTTAGATAAAATATTTTCGTACATGAGTTTTTTTCTTCATAAACAGACGAACTCTAATATAAATCTTAATGTGGATAATAATTATTAAAAATTTATTCGAATAAATATACTCGTATTAAACATCTGTGTATATGTAAAACTTTTAGAAGGTTTTAAAAAAGTATTATTGAATAAAAAATATATTCAACTAAATAGACATTTTTGTTTGATTAAGCAGTAAAAACTTTGAGTCACTAGTTAACTTTCTGTTCACAATTCTTCAAAATAAAGAAGATAAAGTTCAATTCATCATTACGAGAGACGATTAAGACAAGTTAAAAAGCATACATATATAGACGTGTTTTTTATGCACTTCATTTTTTTTATCCCTAATTGGAAACGTAGATAAGTAAGTGATATTTTTCAACTAGAACTGATCGTCTCATTTCTCAATAATCTGCATTTTTTTTTCAGCTACTTTCTTTTTGCATTATGGTGAAACTTTGTGATAAACTCATTTGGTAAAGAATGAAACCTTTTGGTATTTTTATCCTTTAACAAAAAATAGAACATTTGGAAAAATTACTTGAAATTAAGTTTTCACTTGACTTGTAATCAAAAAAAGATCTAACTTTTTCATCTCTGATGATTATTCTAAAGTTATAATTATTTCAGATTATACTGTTAAGAAACGTATCTAGGAACATTTCTTTTGCGTCAGTGAAGTAATAAGATCATAAAAATAATAATAAAATCGTGCGTGTTAAATTAAAATGAATATATATGTTGCGAAAAGACTTATTTTTTCATAAGCTTTATGCTTAAGTAGATCCATTGATGATACTAAAAGCAAACATTTTAAAACATTAATTACTTCTCGTTAGTTTATTTATGTCAGGAAAACTATGACAAATATATATATATATATTTATTTATTTATTTATTTAGTCTTTTGCCCTCTCCCCAAAGTTGTTCTAGAATATCTTGACAAAGCAACCAAGGCAAACATAATATAAGTCGTCCTAGCATGTCAATAGTATGGGCAAACGGTTTTGCAACATGCCTCTTGTTCGGACTACAATATGTAGTACAAATAATATCGATAAAAGTATTAAAACTTCATGTTTTTTGAAATTTCGAAACTTTATTATAAATGGCCACTCCATTTGCCCATGGGAGAGGGGAGATAAATGGTTAAGGTCATTAATAATATTTTTATAAAAATAAAATTTTGAATTGGATGAAGGAAATGTTTATCCTCTCATTTCAATGAATTACAGTAGAAAAAAAGATTTTCTTTTTCGTAAAATTATATTAGACAAACCTTGCCATTATAATCCTATATTTAACATAAAGAACAGTAAGTGTAGAGGAAAACATTAGCGTAAACTATATATTGAATTTATTATATGATGCTCCTGCTATATTTGCATGGTTCATAGAATTTATTTTATGATAATCGTTTTTAATGTTAGTAAAATAAATCTATATTTATAATTTTTTTCTAAATTCATATTCGACGAATAGTATTATGAAAAAAACATAGGTATCATCGATAATGGTAAGGTCCTAAGGTCGAGAAAAGACTTAAACAATCAGACATTTATGCGAATAATAATTCTACGTATATGTGTAGTATGAAATACTGGTGCTCGTGTTTATATATTTCTGTCTTGAATACAAATCACGTTTCTTAATAATACAGCTATTGAATGGTTTTTAAATAAGATGCATTGATAAAAAAAAAGTCTTTTCTTTCTATCGAGTAACACTTTGTAAATGAATTAATTTTAGATAGTGACTTATAGATAGATATGAAAAGCTTGATGGAAAAGCATTGTTAAGAAAACAAAAACAACAGTTTTATGGCAGCATACATGCTGTGATCATTTTTATTATTTCGATCTCTTTTAGAATATATTTCGTCATGTGTTTCAGTTTATACTTACTTTTTTCTATTCTAATTGAACATATATTTTTTAATTATTACATCAATATAATCACATAGTATTAATCTAATAATGATCTTCTAATAGACACTATCATATTATGATTATCTGAAATCTTTTATTTCTAAGTAGAGAAAAGAAAGAAAAAATATTTCATTTTCTTTTGTAAACAGAAAAAAAAGTCATGACTTTACATTGAATAGGTTTTAATTAGTATGTATTAATGATAATATTGTTAATGAGACTTGTAATCTAATTCGTATCAACATATGAAAAAAAGAAATGTAATACAATGTTCATTTGTTTTCACTATTCAATGAATATAATTATCTAACAGTTGGAACAAATATATCTTGTTATTTCTTATTCAAATAAAAATCAATGTCGTGTTTTGTTCAACATGATAACATCTATCCTGCTGAGTTAATTATTTTGAATATACATTTATTTTTTGTTTTTTTTTGTTCTTTTTCTTATTGTAAATATAGATGACACATTAAAGAATCAAATGTTATTGTTTTCTGTTCGATCCGATAATCAAAAGTTGATAATGCTTAATGATATTAAAGAAATCTTTTCTCGTTATTGTCTTATTGGATTATTTCTTTTGGGTTCGATTGGTTTAACATTAAATACATTAATATTTACACGTCCTATATTTCGTCAAAATTCATGTGTTCATTATTTTTTAGCATCAACAATAGCTAATTATTTTGTTGTCTTTTTTATTTTACCATCACGTATACTTTCCGATGGTTTTAATATTGATCCAGGACAATATAATTTATTTTATTGTAAAATACGTTTTTATACATATTTTACAGCTAAATCTCTTTCATCATGGTTTATTGTACTTGCTTGTTTGGATCGAAAAATGTCAAGTTCACAATATGTTCATCGACGTGCATTTGCACGTCCTAATGTAGCACGTTGGATGATATTTTTTACAACATTAATCGGTCTTATTTTTTATAGTCATGTTCTTATTTTTTATGAAATTGATCAAAGACAACAATGTGATGCTCGTTCAGGTTTTTATCGTTTATTTAATGATAGTGTTTATTTGATTGGTTATAGTCTTGCACCACCTTTATTAATGTTACTTTTTGGTATATGGACCATAGTTAATACAAGACGTCTCCGTCGTATCGTACCACGATTTGGTCGACGTATGGCAACCTTAAATAATCAAGATCATACACTTATGTTAATGCTTCTTTTACAAGTTAGTCTTGTATCAATTACAGCTGTACCACATGCTGTACAAAAATTATATTCAACATTAACACTTAATGTTCCAAAAGATGATTTAACTAAAGCAGCTGACAATGTTTTTATTGTAGTTGTTCGAACAATATCATTTTTTAATCATTCATGTACATTTTATTTATTAACATTAAGTGGAAAAATGTTTCGTCAAGAATTATATAAAATAATGAAAAAATTTATTTGTAGATCAAGACATGAAGGAATACATGCAAATCTTCAATTAAGAACATTAACACAAACAATTAAATTGAATAGAACTGATCCTCATTCAGAAATACAACAACAATAATTAATCAAAACAAACGAAGAATTCCAATTCAGATTAATTATTTGAAATATATTCAATTAAGACTAATTCATATAAGAATTTATAATAAAATATTCTCCTAGAGAAGTAAAATTATCTAAAATTTATCCAGGTGGCATTAATTAAAAGTAATGGTTTTTTCTTTAGAAGATAAAAGAAACCTATTGTATAAAATTATAATTACAGTAATACACGTCATGTGATTGCATAGTGAGGAAAACAGCAGGAAAAAAAGAACATGAAAGAAGTTATATTATTATCAAAAGGAAAAAATAGAGATTATTAGACTATTTTAGTACAAGAATTATTTGAAAGCAAAAAAAATATCAACTTCGGATAATCTTACAAAGAACTAAACTTATTAAATAAGTAGTAATTCATATAGAAAAGTACATATTTTTATTTATAATAAAATTTTCATATGAAGCAATGGTCAAAAGATCTTTGTAACTTGGTTTTTTTTAGATATTTTTGGTTAATGAATTTACATTACTGTCTATTTCAAAGTTCAAATCAAACATAGCTACAAATAGAGCTTTTCAAGCCATATCAGATCATCTCTTCAAGATTGAATTTTAGTTATGTTATTGATCAAAAATTTTTTTCTTTTCTGCTGGAATATCTATTTGGTGAAAATTGTAAATTAAAAAAAAACACATATTTCGAACGATGTATGTTGTTTACAACTTTTATGGCTTAGATTAGTTTTCATTACCAAACAAATATTTTGAGATGTTGCACAGTTCACTTAGCATCAGTCTAAAGAATACTTTCACACAGCATAAATAAATCAGATTGGAAAGTTTTTGTTTTAACATCAATACTCTCCAGGTTTTATTCTTGAATAATTCCATTCGAATCAATATTCTATTGTTGAGAGATAAATATGGACATTTTTCCAAAGGCTTTCACATTGGCTCAGTATTGCTTAAAATTATAAGTACAAAATAATTTTGATTTCTTGTGTGATGCCGAGTATCTAACTAAAAAATAAACAGTGATTCAAATAACCAATAAAATCCTCTATCAAATATGCCATATATCAAGATTTAGGGAAAAGTTTTCTAAAAAGAAAACTGAATACGGTAGTTTTTAGATCCTGGAACACGTTATGGAAGTTGTTTTTTTTTAAACAGTCCTATCTAAAAGAGCACAAAATTCTGAACAAAACGAGCAATCATTGCTATTTTTAATATTCTTCCTTACAAAATTACAAACATCATTAAAAAAAATGACAGGAAAGGAGAATTTATTAAAGAAGTGCTAAAAAATGCATTTTTTTAAATTTTTTATGATAATTGGAATTTTGAAAGAGAATGTAGCAAAAAAAACTCCATGACTTCTCATTTTGTTTTACAACTTTGTGCTCTTTTAGATAGAGCTGTTGAAAACGAACATTCATAATGTGTTCTGGAACTTGAAAACTACGGTGTTCAGTTTTATAGAAAATTTTTCCTCAAACCTTGATATATGGTACATTTGATGATAGAGAACTTTATTACTTATGCAAACTACTATTGACTTTTTATTTAGGCATTTGACATCAGAGAAAAAAATCAAAATTACCATGTTCTTATCATTTTAAGCAGTTCTGTATATATAATTAATTTCCTTTTTCCTCTTCTTTTTATGCACATCTACGATTCTTTCAATTGCTTCTCAATGATTAACTATGTATTGAAATACATTAGAAAATATACTAGAATCTGTAAAAGACAGTATCACAACATTCATTGTTTTTATTCTTTTGAAATTAGTAAATAAAATCTGAATAAAACACTGTCAGCATCATCAAGAAACGTTGATATTTTGTTTAATCGTTTGAAATAATGATTCATAAAATTCAATGATTAAAGTGGAAGGTTTTAGGAACATCAACAGTTCTCGTCATCTGTAATTTTTGGACATTATCTTTTATATTGTGATTATCTTCTCTTCTTATTGCATTTTTGTAATTTTCCATTCTATTATATGTTTTCTTCCATTTCTATTCCTTTCCTTTCTATTTAATAATCGTTTTTTATCTTTCCTTTAGATTTTTTCTTTTGATACATACACTCTGATATTAGCGCATCCAATGCTTTGTTCAAAAGCTGACACATACAATAAAATCTCTGTCTGATGATCGACGAAAGTTTTGTTAATGTTTCTAATACCTAACATATTTCTGATTAAAGCATTTTCTGACATCACCTCAAGATCCTATTTAAAAAAGTTATAAATTTGAGTTCATAATCAATAATATAATAAAGTTTTCGTTAAAGAATGTTTGATACAGTATCGATGGCACTTAAAATTTCACGATATGACAAATTATGTTACTTATATTTTTTAACTTCATTGTTTTATTCTGAATTAAGATCATTCCCAATATGTCATGTCTAATAAATAATGGTTGACTAGACATAATAATGAAAACTGTCTGTTAATTCTTTTTCTTTTTTTTTTTCTCTTTTATGTTTTCTTTGAATTAAATCATGAAGCACAAGCAAATTCATCATAATCATCTTCACAATTTCCATTATATAATTTAAGCACATAATGCTCTATATTGATGCTCTTATTGACAAGGTTAATACATATAGTCGGAACCAGAAAAATATGCTCAAGCGGACCGAAGAATTCTCAGTATAACAGAATGTTCACTGACAATGGAACCGTCTCAATTGTTAATCGAGTTGAGGGGTCTTGTCCGAGTCAAATTAACACTCTCACTACTAAACTAACAAATTTAAAATATTACGTCCCCATAGCGAGCCTGGGCTGAGATAATCGATTTTTAAGATATTCAGTTTTGGTATGTGAACATAATATCATGGAAACTAAGCACATTCAATATTTTGCATAACTATCAGGTTTTTGAGAGAATATATTTTGAAGTCTGATTAAAATGTGATGACGATATGAAATCACATTAGATCTATCTTCTTCTGAAACTTTAATAATACAAAAGTGA